CCTTCGGTGGAGCTCCCTATGGGGCCACGATCCTTGTGAGGGTGTGCCGAAATGGCCCGAGGCCGCCGTGCGAACCCTGCCACTGGCGCCTTCGGTGGGGGCCACGATCCTCGTGAGGGGTGCGCCGAAATGGCCCGAGGCCGCCATGCGAACGCTGCCAGTTGGGCCTTCGGCGAAGCTCCCTATGGGGTCACGATCCTCGTGAGGGGTGCGCCGGAATGGCCCGAGGCCGCCGTGCGAACGCAGCCACCGGACCCTCCGGTGGAGCTCCCTATGGGGCCACGAAATGCTGCGCTCGGTGCGCCGAAATGGCCCGAGGCCACGGCGCGAACGCAGCCACTGGAGCCTTCGGTGGAGCTCCCTATGGGGCCGCGATCCTCGTGAGGGGTGTGCCGAAATGGCCCGAGGCCGCCATGCGAACGCTGCCACTGGCGCCTTCGGTGGAGCTCCCTATGGGGCCACGATCCTCGTGAGGGGTGCGCCGAAATGGCCCGAGGCCACCATGCGAACGCAGCCACTGGAGCCTTCGGTGGAGCTCCCTATGGGGCCACGATCCTTGTGAGGGGTGTGCCGAAATGGCCCGAGGCCACCATGCGAACGCAGCCACTGGAGCCTTCGGTGGAGCTCCCTATGGGGCCACGAAGCGCCGTGCTGGGTGTGCCGAAATGGCCCGAGGCCGCCATGCGAACGCAGCCGCTGGAGCCTTCGGTGGAGCTCCCTATGGGGCCACAATCCTCGTGAGGGGTGTGCCGAAATGGCCCGAGGCCACCATGCGACGCAGCCACTGGAGCCTTCGGTGGAGCTCCCTATGGGGCCACGAAACGCTATACTGGGTGGGTGAAACGCAGGGAGGACGGGGAGGAGGGGGAGGAGGAGAGGAGAGGAGTGACGCGGGGCACCGTCTTTTCAAAACGAGGACCCAACACCACAAGATGGTTGGGAAAAACCAAGACATCGGATATCTGGGGTCTTAGTGGGCCACGGAAACGGCAGAGCCGTTTCTTCACCGCCTCCGAAAAAGTGTTTCTTGAAAGTGGGCACGGCAAAAAAAGGCGACTGGAAACGGCAACAAAAACGATTCCAGGATTGGAAACGGAGCCGGAACCGGTAAAAGAAAGGCGGCGGCTCCGGTAAAAACAACAAAACAACGGCATCGGAACCGGCAACGAAAACGGCAAAGCGGAAACGGTAACAAAAACGGTTTTGTCGTTTCCAGGGCCCACTAAGGCTGGGATCATGATCTGGGCCTGTTGACTTCCGGCGCCGACTGAAGATCCACCATGGTCTATGAAAGCTCTCTGGCCGGTCCGCGGCCTTCCTCTCTTGTCCCAGCCTTCTCTGCCGTCGGAGTTCGCTTCGGACGCGCGCCCCGCCATCAGCCCGACAGCCAGGGCCGCCCGCGGTCCGGCTCGATTCGGCTCGATTCAGCGGTCCAGGGCTGGCCAGAGCCAGGCACAGCGATCCGATCCGTTTTAGCAGTTCGATCCAGCCCAGGCTTGCCAGCTTGCTGGGCCCGACTCGCCGCAGACCAACGCATGTCTGGGGTCAAGACACTGGAAGGAGGCGTAGCTCGGGCTCTGTATGTCCTGCCACGGTTGTGCCTCCAGCGCTCCTCGCGCACCCAATCGGGCGCCTTCTGAGCCGAAGGGGGGCTTCGCTCCTTTTATTTTTTATGTTTGTTTATTTTTCTCTCTCTCTCTCTCTCTCTGTCTCTCTCTCTCTCTCTCTCTCTCTCTCTCTCTCTCTTTCTCTGTGGCCGAACATTACTTGACCCGCCCAGCCCTCCTCCGCTTCGGGTTTCCAAACCCCTCGCTTGCTCGCTTGTAGCGTTTGGCCGCACCTCGCTGCAGCGTTTGGCTGTTTCGCTTCCTTCTCGCACGTGCTGTTCCCCAGCAGCTGCACCAGCCCTTCTCGAAGGACCAGCGTGCTGTGAGCACGCCTGTCGCCAGTCTTCGGGCCGCCCTCCCGGTGTGGACCAGCTGCGCTCTGCGCTCCTGCGGGCCCCAAGAATACACGCACACACACGCTTCCAGTCTTCCCTCCTCTTCCCTCCTCTCCCTCCTCATTTTCTTTCCGTGAGAGATGGCGGGGGCGAGGGAGATGGTGGTGGTATTTGTTTGGCTTTCGGGCCCCGAGAATATACACCACCACCACCACCACCACCACCACCACCACCACCACCACCACCACCACCAGTCCTCCTCTCCCCTCTTGCCACCTCCCCCTCCCCCTCTTTCCTCGGGAGGGTCAGGGGGCGAGGGAGGTGGTGGTGGTGGTGGTGTATTCTTGTTTCGCCGCTCTGCGTTCGCCTTCGCTCTTCGGCCCGTCTCGCACTTCTCGACCCCATCGGCGGCTGCCCGTCGCCCCCGCTGCCGCGCCCCCCCTCTGCCGCCCAGCCCCCCCCCCCTCCTCTTTCCCGCCGCCGCACGCGGGGCCCCCCGCGCCTTTGTCCGGGATGCCAGGCCTCGGCCGTAGATTGCCTCGCCTCCCGTCGCGCCGCCACCGCGACGCTGCTTTTTAGGGTGTCTGGCGATGACCCTGGTCTTCGGGCCCGCCCGCCTGCCCGCACCGCGGCCCCCGCGCCCTTTTCAGGGAGGCCTCGCCGCGCCCGCCCTTCGCCTCCTCGTGCCGCCGCCACGGCACCGTCTCTCAGGGCGTCCGACGATGCCCGGGGCTTTCGGGCCCCGCCCCCCCCCGACTCTCTCCCCCCCGGACATCCGGATCTTGTCGGCTGCGGAGGGGGCGCGCAGCACTCGGGGTTGGACAGACCTTCTACCCTGACACGTCGATTAGTGAATTGGCTGTTTTCGGTTCGGGGGAGGACGTCGCGGCCGTCATTTTTGCGGGTCCAGGTCCATCGGTTTCGGTCCCAGGCCGTTTTCATTAAGGGGGGGGTTTTAAAAGGGAGATTTGTCCATCGCCGAAGCACTGGTGCGCGTGGGCATGCGTGGGGCTGCTCGCCAGCGAAGAGGTTGGTCATCGGCCGGCACCTCCCTTCACTCCCCCACCACCGCCAGAGGAACCTGGGTCGTCGCCGAAAGGAGAAAAGATCTTCACCCCTTCCGTCGTTCACCCCTGGATCGCTTGCTGTAAGAAAGTCGGAGCCCCGAATCATCAGGGGTAACTCGGGTCAGGGATAACTCGGGTTCGTTTTTCGGGAATCCAAACCCGAGTTACCCCGGACCCGAGTTACCCGAGTTACCCCGGATAACTCGGGCGTCCAGAGCCCCACATCATCAGGGGTAACTCGGGTCAGGGCTAACTCGGGTTCCTTTTTCGGGAATCCAAACCCGAGTTACCCCGGACCCGAGTTACCCGGATAACTCGGGCGCCCAAGAAAGCGAGCGTCTCTTGCTGCCTCCTCTGGGCACAGGTCCGGCGGAGGGCGCGGCGGCCTGGGCCTGGCCTGGGCGTCTGCGTCAAGAGGAGGAGAAGAAGAACGAGAGGGAACATTTATGATGATGAGGACGAGGACGAGGATGAGGATGAAGATGATGAGGAGGAGGATGATGTGGAGGAGGAAGATGAGGAGGAGGAGAAGGAGGAGGAGGAGGAATAGTAGCAGGGCAAGAGCAGGAGCAGGAGAAAGAGGAAGAGGAGGAGAAAGGGCAGGAGGCCGCCCGAGGCCCGGGGTGTCTCCAGCGATGGCGCTGCCGATCCTGCCCCGGAAAGACAGGATCCCCCCCGTCTCCCGTGCTTCCTCCCTACGCCCTCCCAAGCTGCACGCCTGCCCGAGAGGACCCCTCGCGCATGTCCCTGGAGGAGCGCGAGGCCTACTACGCAGAGGCCGAGGAGGAGGAGGAGGAGCAGGAGCAGGAGCAGGAGGAGGAGGGTAAGGATGAGGAGGGGGCGGAGGAGGATGGGGACCAGTGTAAGCCCAAGTCGCATCACCAGCGTTGCAATCACCAGTCCCTCCAAGTTCCTACGTACTTCACAGGTCCCTACAATAATAGATTGTCATTGCGTGTAGTGGCCCATTCGAAGACAATCGTCTGAGAATGTTCAATCGTGCCGAAGCTGAACTTCAGGGACTTCGACCCCGCGGATCAACGTGGTTGTGGTGTCTTGACAATCCTAGATCGTGCCAGAACGACATTCATGGGAGCTCAACACGGCGAATACATGTGACCCTTGCGTCGTCCTGGCAGTCTGTCATCGCACCAGAACGCGACTCCTGAGACTTCACCCATACGCATCTTTGGAATTCTTCTAACAAGTGAAACCGTTGTGCGCGGCGCTAGGGCGAGAGTCGCATTTTGAGAAGGATTCGTGCTTCCACCCTTGAAACGTTGCAAACTTTAACACAAATGTGCGCGGCGCTAGAGCGAGAGCCGCGTTTTGATAATGGTCCGCCCTCCATCTGTGGAAATGTTGCAACTCTAGACGCTTCGCGTAGCCCCACCAGCCCATTCAAAAACTATGCCTGGTCGAATTGCCTTGGTCAGGCATGTGGAGGAGCATGCAGTGGAATAAAGGGGCTGGGGAAGCCCATACCCGAAGAGAGTGGGTGGATGGAGGAGAAATAAGACGAAGACTGGGAGGGAAATGTGAAAGGGGGGATGGAGGAGTCAGGAGTCGGGAGTCCCAAGATGAAGGCCAAAGGGAGGAGGGAGGAAGAGGAACAGGTGGAAGAGGAGGAGGGCTAGCAGAATGGCCAGATGCTTCTTGGATGTATGTTGTCACAGGGATGCGCGCTGGTCATGTGCTGGGGTCCGTCACGCAGGCCTCGGGCGCGCGCTTCCGCGCGTCAAACACAAGAGGCTGACAGTGGCAGGCAGTGAAAGGAAGTGAAAGATTCGAGGAGGAGGAGGAGGAGAAGGTGGAGGAGGAGGAGGAGGAGGAGGAAGAGGAGGAGGAGGAGGAGGAGGAGGAGGAGGAGGGGGAGGAGGAGGGGAGGAGGAGGAGGGGAGGAGGGGGGATAAGGAGGAGGAGGACGAGGAGGAGGAGAAGGAGGAGGAGGAGGGCAAGGACAATGCAGGATGCCCTCCTCGCACGTGCAGGCCCGGGCGCGCATCTTCGGGCAGGGCCAGGGCGAAGGCGCCGGCTCCGGCGCCGCCGCGGCGCCGCCGCCGGTGGAGGAGCAGGCCGCACCCTGCCCCCCTCGCCGGGCGCCCCCGTCCCCCCCTGGTGGCGGCATCTCTGTTTACCCTGCTCCCCTCCCTCGCGCCGCTCGGTTCCCTCTGCCCCGCTCGTTCCACTTCGCTCTACAGTCGGGCCGAGGCATGAGGTCGAGGTCGGTTCGGGGAGGGTGCCCCAGTGTTCGTCGTGTCTGCTGGGGGTTCTCGTGCATCCTGGGGGAGGGCACCCTCGAATGCTCTTCAGCATTGGCAGTTTGAGGGCCTCATGCTCCTGAGGGATGTTCTTCTGGCCTAGGTCCGACTGTACCTCTAGGCCTCCCAAGTGATGGGGTCGGAGTAGATGGGGCCTGCGGAGGGCGCCGCGTCGCCGACGCATCGCCGGTGCTGCCCGCTGTGGAGTCCGAATTGTTCCACGCCCACGGCGCCGATGCATCTGCAACGTCGCCGATGCATCGCTGATGCATCGGCCATGCATCGCCGATGCATTGGCGATGCCTCGCGATCCTCCGACACCATTTACTCGGATCCCATCCAGGAGGCCTCTCCATTTCGCCTTGCTCCGCCTCCCACCTCCCCCCTTGTGCCTCCCCCATGACTTGTAAATATCTGCCGGCGGAACAGGATCGAGGCCGCCAGGAGTGTGCCTGCGCCCTCCATGGGCTCCGGGGCTCACTTTCCCTGTGTTTTCACTTGGTTTCGGCGTTCCAGGGCCTCCGAGGCGGCAGCGGCGACCCCAGACCCCTTGTTGACCTTCGGACGGAGGCCCAAAACCAGCCCCAGAGCGCTCCAAGACGGCCCACGACGCCTCCTACACCGCACCAAGACGGCCTCAGAGAGCTCCAAGCGGCCCCCACGACGGCCCAAGAGGGCCCCAAGACGGCACAAGAGGCACCGAAAACGGTCCAAAGGAGTTCCGACACGGACCCCGAGAGGCGAAACAAAAACTCACAGAGGCCCTCAACATGCCCAGGCCGCCCAAGAGGCCAAAAAAAAGGCCCCGATATACACCAAAACATACCCCAAGAGGATTGAACAACTGCGTCCCACCCTGCTTCTCGCCCGCCTTATCACCTTCCTGCTCCTCAGTTCTCCTGGTTGTCGAGCTTTCTCCCGGTCTCAAGAAATATAAATATATTCCCGGGACTGCCTGGAACAGCATTCCTCTAGTTTTTGTTTTGTTCTTCGCCGCTCTGCTCCATCGTCATTCCCTGATCCTCCGCCTGCTGCGGCTGCTCTCCATGCTACTCCCGCGCCTCCCCCTTCCCCCTCCTCCCGCTCCCCTTCTCCTCCTTCTCACCCCCCTGCTTGTGGAGCTCTCTTCCCGTCTCTCGAAATATGTTCCCGGAGCGCCTGCCGGGAACATAATTTCTTTGCTTGCGTTCGAATGTTTCTTTTGTTCTTCGCCACCCTGCCCCTTCGTCTTTCTTCCCATGTCCTCCTCCTGCTGCGGCTGCTCTTCATGCTACTTCTGCACCTCCCCCTGTCCTTCTACTTCCTCCTGCTCCCCCTGAACCTCCCTTCCTTCCGCTCCCCTTCTTCTCCTCCTCACCCTCCTTCCCTTCCGCCTACTCCGTATGTCCTGCTCGTCCTGCTGCTCCTCCTCCTCCTGCCGCTCACCCTGTCTTGCGTGTCTGTCCTCCTCGTCCTTCTCATCCTCCTGCTCCTCCCCCTCCTTTTCCTCCTCCTTTTCCTCCCTCTCCTACTTCTCGAGATTCCTCCTCCTGCTCTAGCCCTCATCCTCGTTCCTGTCCCCCTCCTCCTTCTCGGGCTCCTCCTCCTCCTGCTGTCGCGAAATATTATCACGGGAAGTTCCCCGGGAATGTAATTCCGCGTGCCTCCCTTTCTCCACCTCACCGATATCATCCTACTTCTCGTTCCCGCCCTCTTCTTTTCTCGGGCTCCTCCTCCACCTATCGCGCAAGATCTTCCCAGGAAAACTCCCGGGAACAGAAGTCCCATCCCCTTGCTCGAGCGCCTGATCTCTCCTTGGCGGCCCCTCTCCCTCCTCCTCCTTCCTCTGATCCTCCTCCTCTGGCTGCTCTTCCTCCTATTCCTGTTCCTCTCCCTCCTCTTCCTCCGCCTCCCCCCGCTTCCCCGTCGACTTCTCCCTCTCTCCCCCTTGCTTCTGCCGTGTGCCCCTCCTCGTCACTCCGCGAGTCGTGGGGCCGAAGAGTCTCGGATGCCGATGGGCCGTGGGGCCGCGATTGAGGGCCTTCGACCCTAGAGGTCAAGGGCGCCCAGGGGCCGAAGGATTCGGAGGAATCTTGGGGCCGACTTCAAGGGCCGTGGGGCCCACGGTCCCCAGGGGTATCCGGGCCGGGGGGGGGGGGGCCGGATCTGGGGGCGCCCGGGCCAGGGAAGGGGGGGGGGGAGGAAGGGCAGGGGGTATTGAGGAGGAGGAGGAGGAGGAGGGGGAGGAAAAGGATGAGAGGGAAGAGGAGGAGGAGGAGGAGGAGGAGGAGAAGAACGTGTAGGAGGAGCAGAAACAAATGAGGAAGGAGGAGGAGGTGGTGGAGGAGAAGGAAGGGAACTAAGTAAACGGAGGAAAGAGACAGGCGAGGAGGAGGAGGAGGGAGAGGGCGAAGGAGGGGGAAGAAGAGAAGAAGGAGAAGGTGGAGGAGGAGGAGGAGGAGGATGACGGACAGATATGTGTATATATACAAACAAAAAAAGGCCTGTCTTGATACTTCTGCCAGGGCCTTGCCGCGATCTCCGCTAGAACCAAAGCGCGCGCGAAACGCGCGAGATTGTTCTATATGTATATATATATATATATACACATACATACATACACGCGTACATGGATGTATGTGCGTATACATGTGTATGTTCATTTGCACATGTCCACTTCTCTTCTTCTTTTTCCTCTTTCTCTCTCTCTCTCGTTCTCTCTCTCTCTTGTTTTTTTGTTATCTCTCTCTCTCTCTCCCTCTCTCTCTATCTTTTTTTTTTTTTTTTTTTTTTTTTGTTTTTCTCTCTCTCTCTCTATTTCTTTATTGTTTTCTTTATCTTTTTTAATTATTATTATTTTTTTCGTTCTCTCTCTCTCTCTCTTTTCTCTCTCTCTCTCTCTCTCTCTCCCTTTCTCTCTCTCTCTCTCTTTTCTCTCTCTATTTCTCTCTCTCTCTCTCTTTCTCTCTTTCTCTCTTTCTCTCTTTCTCTCTCACGTTTCTGAGTCTCTCGCTCGCCCTCACTCTTTCTGTATGTATATGCTTATGTACTTGGCGTTCTGTTTCACCTGCGTTGACCAATTGGGCGCGTCCCTCGCGCAGCTCCGTGCCCCATAAGGACTTCCACTTACGGCCTCGGGGAGGGCTCTCACAGCGCACCCTGCCCGCGTCGACGTACAACTTACACGGCCAATTCGGCATTCAATCACGCGGATCGTGTCGCGCAGGAAATTATGCGTGTAGTTGCGCGCTTGCGCTGCAGTTTCCTATCCCTGCTGCCCCGCGGCGCGCAGCGTGCGAAGGTAGGGGCACGTCTCGCTACGCGCATCGCAAGGGGCTGGGCCCATTCGGCAGCCTAATGTTCATCTGTTGGAGGGATGGCTTCAATGGGCGCGTGCTGGCCTTCATGGTTCCGATCAAGCAAGTCAGGCCTGGCGGGTTGTTGACACCTGTCGAGACAATGTGACGCATGCGTGCCGACAGGTCAAGACAACCTTGCGAAAAGATAGGGTCGGGCACGCTCAAATCTTGACGCGTCGCGCATTCCCACTAGCCTATCCACAAGCGGTGAAGGTGAGGCGTTTTCTAAGCATGTGGCGAAGCAGGGATGCCACCAACGGTGAAATTAGAGAACCCGGGCAGCCTTTGCAACCATCTCAGGGTTGTGTTGAAAGCGCCTTTGGGCTCTTTGAAGTCTCCTTGAAGCCTTCTTGGGGCCCTCTTTTGCGGCTCTCTTGGGACCCTCTGGGGTCGAACAATTGCATCTTGGGTTAAGTCGGGCGTGTCCCTCTACAGGGGGGATATTCAAAACTACCCCAAACATAGTCGGGGGACGATGTTTGATGATTTTTCAATAGAATATGCTTTGAGTCTTCTTTATTTTTCGCCCAGCATCCTCCTGTAAGGGGGGCGCGCCCGACTTCAATCTTGGGGCCGTCTTGGGATGCCCTCGGGGCGCTCTCCGAGACCCCCTCGGGCTCTGTGGGGCGATCGTGGGGCCATCTTGACGCCACAGGTGCGAGTACGCACAAGTAACTCATGTGTTTTGTCTAGGCCTCCTAGATATGATCGGAATAGATGAGGTCGGAGGATCGCACCGCATCGCCGATGCATCGCCGATGCGGCTCGATGCGGAGCCCGATGTTTTTCACGCGGGCGTCGCCGATGCATCGCCGACGTCGCTGATGCATCGCAGCTGCATCGCCGATGCATCGCCGATGCATCGCCGATGAATCGCCGATGCGGCGCGATCCTCCGACCCCATTTACTCCGACCCCATCTAGGAGGCCTCTACTGGGCAGCTCCAGGGGCACTTGGAGCCGTCTTTGGGTCGTCTTGGAACCTCTCTGAGGCACGTCGGAGGCTGCCGGCGGCACGTCCCGCCACCGTGCCCGGGTTGTGGGCATGGAGTTAATTGGATGTTCGTTGAGATTCTTGTGTGAGGCCTCTTTGGGGCCTCTTGGAGGCAGCTTTGAAGCCTCCTGGGGGCCGTTTTGGGGCCACTTGGGGATTCTGTGGGGCATATTGAGGGCCTCTCGGGGGCCTCTTCGGGGCCTCTCAGGGCCTCCTGGGGGCTTCTTGGGGCATCTTGAGGGCGTCTTCGGGCGGAAGGCTCGGATTTGTCGGTTCGTGTTCCCTGTCTTGGACCCGATTGGGCCGTCTTTGAGCCCTCCTAGGCCGTCTTGGGCGCCTCTTGGGCCGTCTTGGGGCGCTCTTGGGGCGTCTTGGGGCACTCTTGGAGGCCTCTTGGGCTGTTTCGGGTTGGTTTTGGGGACCTTTCGGGCCGTCTAGGAGCGTCGGGTTCCCGAACAGGCGAGAACGCCAACATCCTTCAAAAACCGCAGGTAACTCATTGATTTACTTGGGGCCCTCTTGGGAGGCCTCTTGAAGGCGTCTTGGGGCGTCTTGGAGTCCTCTTGGGCCATTTGGAGGCCATCTTGGGCGTCTTCGAGGTTGGTCGGCGACTCGGGGCCCTCTGGGACCGTCTTGGGGGCCGCCTGGGCCGTCATAGAAGCTTTGGAGAGCCGCAGGGAGGCGCCATGGCCGCCCAAGAACCCCCCCCCCCAGGAGTATGGGTGATTCAGTCGGGGGTGTCACCGGGAGGATTGGGGGGGGCCTTACAAGACTACAGAAACCTTGCCCTGCAGCCCTTGGCATTCTTCAACGCCCCAACGTGCCGCGGGCACGGTGGCGGATCTTGAACCATTTTCGGCTATCATGAGACATTTTGGAGGCCATCCTGGGGCATGGGGGCCCTTTACGAGCCATCTTGGACCTTCTGACTGCTCCGCCCCGCCCCGTCCAAACCCGAGGTAGAGGATAGGGGGAGGGGTTAATCACTCCCTGGCTAGGCGAAGAAGTTTTCGGGGAAAATGAGAGAGGTCGTTACACCTCGGCCAAAAGACTGGTTGGATTTACAGTCTTTTTCTTCTGCTCCTCTTTCCGCTCCGTGGCCAAAGCTTCCTTCCTTTTTTGCCGTAGAGCCGATTGGCGGCTTGGTTCGTAAATATAAGCTGGGATTACTGCTTCTGTTCCTGCCGGTCCTGTTTCTCTGCCGG